GCAGTCGATAGTTTGCTGATAAGCCCCGTGGCCGTGTAGGCTACAAGCGTCCGAGTGCTCGATGCGTCAGCGCAGATGATTCCACCGAAGAATTGAACTCGTTTTCGTGTGTGCTTGTCCGATGCTGCGTCAGCGGAGAAAGTGCGTTCCGGTAAGTAGCCTTTTCGCTAAGTGTTTTCGATGCCCTATGGTCGATACGTTCGCATTTTTGTCCTTATCAGTCGTTTTTTTGCAGATTAACGGCGGTGAAGCGTCGTCTGACTTGTGCCCCTTTCTCGAAACTACCATCCGTTGCACGTAGCGGCTACATTCTCCTGATCGTCTTCCATGGGCTGATCAGACCCGCAGTTAACGATGACGTTGTACGAATTGCCGATTCCGGATGCGGACGTTTCCAGCCGTAGAAATCGTCCCTAATCCGTCGTCCTGTCCGGGTAGTCGTAGGGCGCGTAGAATGTTTTATAGGCGCTTCACGAATTTCAAAGCACCCTCCGGATTCAGGGCTTGCAGATGGACGAAAAAAACATCCATTCTCGTATTCGTAGTGAGCCGCGCCTCAATGAGAAGTCGCTTCGTCTCTGGCCTGTACTCGCGTAGCCGACGTAGGACTTCCCCTTGTGACGACGTAGAAAGTTCGGCTTCCAGTCCATACTGCCGTTTCGCATGCGATCATGACGTAGGTACTTTTAGCATCGTAGACGTAACGCTCGTGTCGTCGTTATGGCGTCTTTTCGCGATTCCCTGCTCGTATTCCATAGTGTCGTTCGCGCCGCGGCTGTAGTTGATCAGCAATTCGTAGACGTTCTGATGTTCCAGGATCGTGAAGCCGTCGGTGTCCGCGTCCAGGCGCTCGGTGGAATCCTCCATATCGTCACTTAGAGTACGACGATGCCATCTATCCTCGATCCTAGCTAGATGTTACCGGTTCAACCCACCTGGGCATTCCCTCCGGGGAGGTCAGGACACCGAGTGCACGCCTTCTAACAGAGTTGTATTCCCGATTTCAAGTGACATGATAGCTGATAACAATGGCTTATATATGCAAGCACTGGGGAGGGGAAGGAGGAGCTTTCTGCTGATGCACTATACACCTCCTCTCCACGTTTGCCAGGCCCCACTGGCAATAACTTTAGGACAACATGCGAGTGACAAAAAAGGGGTTTTAAATAAGGGGGAACCTAAGGGAGTGCATTTGTCGGTCGTCGTTCCTGTGGCATTTAGTTCTTGCGATCCCTTCTGTGCTTGCTTGAGCCATCGGCCATTCGGCTTCCGCTGCAGTGTGCTTCATCCGAGCGGTCAAATGTAATCAGAGGCGTGACCCCCCCCCCCCTCCCTCCCCTGTAAGGCTACCATATTTTCTGAACATTCCCTTATCCGATCCGCCTTCTTTCCGTTCTCATTCCTCTGTGGCAATACTAACTGGCGAAGTGTTTTCGAAATATTTCAGAATGTGCTTTTGACGTCGGCACTTCCGCAAAATACAAGAGTTCGGAGACTGCTTGGACCAGGTGATTTTACTGGACAAAGTGGGATCTTGGCTGTAGATGATTGTATCCGAGAGAACAAAATCGATTGTTTGAGCCCTGTTTCTATCGTTACATTCTCGCCCGTAAAACATGTGGTCCGCTTGACAAATTCTGTATAATTTTAGCCTTTGAATTTATCTTCGGTAGCCTACGAAATAAGGGCATTCTTACCAAACCGAGTCGGCTGCTGGCAATTTCTGGAGATCGAGTGCCCAAGGTGCTCTTCGGGATAAACAGTGTATGTTGTCGCCGAAAATGCCCATGCCGGATCAGGTTAAGAACAGTATTCGACTCCCAACCAAATCCACCAATTGATCCGACCTGCGATGTGCCCGGTCGGTGTTGGTCACTGGCTTAAGACCCGTTTTTTGCGATTTCTATATCGCACTAAGCAAATTAAGGACCTTCCAGGTCTTGCCGCAAGCGGACGCATAGAGGATCTATTGTCGAGTGCAACCGAATCGTATCAGACATTTCTGAGAAAGCAGTGGAACATCACGACGCAAGCGACGCTGCTTGAAAGGCAGGGCATGAATGATGACGAAATATTCAAATCCCTACACGATCCCGTGGCGAATTGCGACATAGAAGAGTTCTTCGAGAAGGTACGAGGAGATTTCAGAGTTGCCAAGTGACCAGGGCCGTATTTAGCGGGGGGGGGACCCATTTGATGAGTTCACCCTTGTCCCCGACCTCCACCCCCCCCCCCTATCCTGAAATCCGAGATACGCCCCTGCAAGTGACCTGGTGTAAGCAACGGCACAATTTGGAAGTGCTTTTACAGTGCCGCTCCGTCCGACGTGTAGTGCGGTTTTTTTGGCTTTGGTAGGAGGCGATTTTAGCCAGCCAGTTTTTTTTGGTTTTGCTCGAAAAGTTCCGAAAGCTCTACTTCAAATTGTTGCCCGTGCTAGGCTCCGTCAGCCGTAACGTGCCGTGTTCCATTCCATGACGTTTTCCATATTCCACGTCACGGAATACGGCAAGCAGGAGGTCAACACGGGGCCGTAATCCGTTCCGTACTGGTAGGGACGGAGTACGACACGGCTTAAAAACAAGTCCCTTCCGTGCTGTCCTAGTGCAGTTCGGCACGGAACACGGCCCTTTTGCAGCCGTGCCATATACCTTGCCGTAGAGTACGGCACGCGACGATACTAGAGGGGTTAGGGGTCAGTACGGCATGGAGTTGGATAAGGAGCGGTTAGTACGGCAAAGAGTTTGGTACGAGAGGGCGTTTGCTGAAGTCTAGTCTGTGCGTCGACAATGTAAGCAGACGACACCAGAGGAATCAATGTTTTAAACTTTGCCCGACATGCTGCCAGCCTCATATAATGTGATCGGGTGCTGTTCGTCACTTTTCGTGTTTCAAACGTCCAAAAAAGTTGCTTAGGAGCATTATCGATCAACGCGGAAGGACCGTATGGTGCAGCTCGAGTTCAAAAGCCTTCCGCTCATGCTAAACTTTTTTCGCGACTACCTCGATGCGTATCCGGCTTTTGCGGAACTGAACTCACGACTTCGGGTATGTGTCCCAGAACCGGACCCTACACGCACCCTCAGACGGGAATGGGGCATATGAAGGTCCGCGACCGGTACAAATGAAATTTCCCTTAAAGTTCTCTGGGCCACCTACGTAGAGTTGTCTAGTTATATGAGAGGTAGGCCACCCGTGCCGTAAAATACGGCACGGGTCACGGCACGGGGGGTCTCAGCACGGGTCGTCTCATGGCATGGCCCCAAACTTTTGCCGTTTTCCGTGCCGTGCCGGCTCGTTTTTATGCCGTTTTAGTGCAACGGCTTGAAAATTCTTAAAACACGGGCCGGCAGTAATTTTCTCAGCACGGGCCGGCTCACGGCACAGGGTGGTCCAGCGCGGGCCGGTTCACGGCACGGGATTGGTCCGCCTATCTCTAAGTTATATGCCTGCTTTTTACTAGGCCACGTGGGACCAAGTAGGACGTAAGGAGCACTTTCTCGGTGAAATCGGAATTCAGAAAGCTGTTTTCCATTTTTAAATCGGAACAGTTTCGTAGTCTGGGCCTTTTGGACGCAGGGATCTCAACCCCCCCCCCCCTGAAATCAGGGGGTACCCCCTGAATTTGGCCTTTTGCCCCTGATTTTTCAGAGCAGATTCAGGGGGTATAGGGTCACATTTGTGTAGTAGTACTGAGTTTTTTTCGTGTAGAAAGCCCATTGTTCCACTGAAATAAGTCGTTGGCTTCGCCTGCGGCGGGCTAAAACGCAATTCCCTACGGAAATCACGTTCGAGCACCGATGTCGCTTCGCTCATGATGCTCTCGCTTTTTTATGCTAGTAAGTTGTTTCGTTCTTCGACCGTTTGATTCACTTGTGTGAGCGGGAGAAGCATTTGCATATGGGTGTCCTGCGCACGGTCCTCTTGTACCAAGCCAAGCCGAAATTGGGACCGAGTCGTATTTTCGACTTACTTTGATACTTTGACGCTCCGTTGTCAATCTGGCGCGGGTTGTGGAGGGTCCACTCTTCGTTCCAGATGCAGAGCACACTGTTGACGATAGTATGATCGGTTCTGCGCGATTTCTCTCCAGTTTGGACCGTGGGCTTTCAGCAGTGGTTCGTTCCAGCGTGTCGGGATGCCCCAGTTTCGTGGTCGACTTCCGCGTGGTTTCCATGCGGTGGTCCTACCGGCCCATCTGTCGTCCGCCATGCGAGCTACGTGGCCGGCCCAGCGTAGCTTGCGTTTTCTGGCCTCCGTTATGGCGTCTGCGAACTGCGACTGTTCTCTAACGGCTTCATTTCGCTGCTCTTCTCTCATCGAAATTCCGAGGGTGCGGCGTTCGATGGATCGCTGGGTGACTGCTATGCGGTTTTCTTGTGATTTTGTTGGTGCCCAGGTTTCGCAGCCGTAGAGTAGTGCTGGCAGGACGGTGGTGTTGAACAGGTTCGCCCTCAGCTTGACGTCTCTTACGTTCTTCAACGCATCCTTCATGGAGTTGTACGACTGCCATGCCGCCTTTTGACGTCGCGTGATCTCTCCGTCTAGCGTATGGTCTTCTGTCAGCTCCTGGCCTAGGTAGACGTATTTGCGGACTCGGTTGATGGCTTCTCCTTCGACCGTGTGCGTTTGTTTTGATTCGAAGTATTCGAACCACTCCGTTTTACGACGGTTGATGCGAAGCCCTCGAGACTTGCTGCGATCGTTTAGCTGCGTGAGCCGGCGCTGAACATCTGCGAGTGTGGTGCCGATGAGCGCTATGTCATCCGCAAACCGCAGGTGGGTGATTCGCTTGCCGTCGATCGATACACCCGCTCGTCCGTCTGCTTCCCAGTTGAGCTCCCGGAAGGTGGATTCAAGTGCGGCGGTGAACAACTTGGGCGAGATCGTATCGCCTTGTCTTACTCCGCGGCGTATGGGGATGCGAACTGGGTCGTCAAACAGCGTGATGTCTGTACTGCAGTCGACGTTCGCTTCCTCCAGAAGGCGTACGTATCGCGGATCTACGCCTTGCTCGTCGAGAGCGTTCCACACTGCGTTCACCTCGACGCTATCGAATGCCTTCTCGTAGTCGACAAAGACTACGTATAGGTGTCGTCCGAATTCGCGTGCCTTCTCTTGGAGCTGATTCATGGTCTGCAGGTGATCCAGCGTGCAGTAACCGCTTCTGAAGCCGGCTTGTTCTGGTGGTTGCGCGGCGTCCAGCGTGTCCGTCAGGCGATTGAGGATCGTTTTCGTGAACACTTTGTATACCGTGGAGAGAAGGCAGATCGGCCTGTAGTTAGCAATGTCTTCAGGGTCTCCCTTCTTGAAGATCAGCACGGTCTTTGACTCCTTCCACTGCGCTGGGATTTTGCCGGTTTTCAGGCAGTGCGAGAAGAACTTTGCAAGCGTCTTCCATAAGTGGGGTCCGCCTGCTTTCAGCTTCTTGGTTGTGATGCCATCCGGGCCCGGTGCTTTGCCGTTCTTCATGCTTTTCGCAGCTGTCTCGACTTCTTGCCACGTGAACTGTGCGAGTGGGTCTGCGTCGTCGTCCGTGGTCTTCGGATCTCTTGCGACGTGCACTCTGGAGTCGAATAGTTTCGTGTAGAAGTCGCCGCATATTCTTTCGATCTCGCGTCTGTCTGTTTGGCGTGTGGCGTTTTCGTCCTTCAGAGCGGCAGTGAGCAGCCGGACTTGCGCTAGCTCGCGGGCCCATTTCTTCAGACTGTTTCGGGCTTCAGCCGTCTCGACTAGTCGCTGGTTGCGGTATGCGGCGTGATCTTCCTTGACGCAGGCACGTACCTCCCTCGCTAGCGCTCTGTATTCTTCCGCGTTTTCTGGCAGCGGCTTCGTGGTGGTCAACGTGTTGAGCTTCTTCCTCGTCTCAGCAGTGAGGCGTGACCGGAATTCTTTCTTCTTTGGCACTTCAGCGGCTTTGAGGCAGGACGTCAAGGTGGTGGTAAGCTGATCGTATCGTTCGTTAGTTCGTCCGCTCATGGCCCAATGTGCCGCTTTGACTGCTCGCTTGAGTGTTTTCTTGTCGAAGGTGCTCGCCCGTTTTTGGGACGAGAGTGCTAGCGATTTCTTCAGTCTCTTTACGTCGAGGTGGAGCGTGGCTCGGACCGGTCGGTGGTCGCTATCGCACCCCAATCGGCTGAGGACTTCGACAATGGAGACGCTTCGACGGTCGTCGCAGAGGATGTAGTCCAGTTCGTTGAACTGGTCGAAGCATGGTGAGTGCCACGTCCAGCGTTGGTTTTTCGGTTTCTCGAAGTAGGAGGTCATGACGTGGAGGCGGTGCGATTCTGCGAACGCTGCCATTCTCTCTCCGCGTGCGTTTCGTTCGTCAGCGGTGTTGAGGCCGATGTACTTTTCGCCGTTCTGCTGTCGTCCTATGCGAGCGTTGAAGTCGCCGATGACCATTGTTCGGCACGCGTGGTCGGCTAGCTGCTCGGTTAGTTCCTCGTAGAACTGCTCGACTGTCTCGTCGTCGTAGCCGGAGTGCGGAGCGTAGACCTGCACGATCTTCAGCGGTCGTCTCTG